ATCCATAACTTTAATGATTTATAATAAAATATTATAATATCGACTTTACTTACAAAAAGAGGTGCACAACCTCTCAACTATGTATTTTTTCTAAATCTGTTATCACTTCGACCCTAACTTTATCATCGACCAAGTTGAAAAATTAAGTACATCAAAATGTCTAATTAACCAATATTTATATTAAATGCAACTCTATTTTTATGAAGTACTCGTGAAACTACTTTTTAGTATTATATTTAACTGACAACGATGTATCAATTATATTTTTTATTGTAATAATTTTATTATTTATTTATATTTTTAAAATTTTGAAGATTAAAATTGTTACTTATTTTTTTATTTAATATAAATTTTAGATATTTTATGAATCTCTATTTTTATATTTATAAAAATTATCTTAATTTTTTAATTTAAAATTTACTTTTAAGAATCTTTTTTTTATAAAAAAATCTTTTTTTAAAATTTATGGTTATTAATATATATTTGTTTTTATATTTAATTAAAAGTTTGTTAATACTAAGTGATAAAAGAATCATTTTAAAATAAAATTATTTTAAAATTATTAAATTTTATTAAATTTTTATCATTTTGATAACATTTATAATTATATAGTTGAATTAAATAAATTTTAAAGAAATTTATTATCTAAAATACTTTTATTATATATTAAAAACTTGTATTTCACAAACTATAACATTGAATTATTTTTATATATAATATTTAAAAATAATATATATATATATATATATATATAAAATATAGTTATTTAAGAAAATTAAGAAATATAAAATTAAAAAATCGTCAACGGTATAAGTGCAAAGTTTTAAGTTTAGAATTTAGAGATAGAATAACTAAAAGTTATAAAGTATAAAAATTTGTCAACAACAATTCTTTAAAAAATATTAAAAAGTCAAAACTTGAAGTGATAATTTTTTTAAAAATAATAATAAATTTTAAAATAAAGATATTTTGAGAAAAAAATAATCTTTTTAAAAAGTAAAATCGGCAGTTTTTGGTAAAAAAAATTGACGGTTTTTTAAAAATGTCTTTCCGTAATATTTTTTAAAAGTTTCATATTTTAGAATTTAATTTTTTCCCACATAGAAAAAAGGCACAAAAACTAGTATTTAGGTATATTGAGTGCTTGCAAAGGAATTCGGAAGGGCATATCCTCATCATTTTATGTCTAAATAAGTTATTTTCAAACTAAGTTTTTCTTAGAGCTAAAATAAAGATGAGTGAAATAAAAAAAATATTAGTAAAGTAATATAATAATTGGATAAAATGATATAAAAATAAAAGAAATATAAAAAAAAGTATGTTTTGGACAGATAAATAAGACAAGTGCAACAAGACTTTTGAGAAGATTGATTGTATATATAAACTAAATTAATGATATTTTATCATATATTGTTAATTTTTTTTACAATTATAATGGGTTAGAATATTTTTTATACTTTAATTTTGTCATTAATAAAATGTTGATGTTTTAAAAAGAACATAAACATATAAGTGAAAAAAAATACATTTAAAATATATTTAAACCATTTTACCATGGCAATGTAGATATTACATGTGAAGAGAATAATATTTTGAGGCTAATTTTCTTTTCCATTTCACGGGATTTTTTTATAAATAAATTAAAAAATATTCATTATTTCTTAAATGTCCTTAAAAGAAAAAAATTTACACAAATATCCTAAAAATACATATAACAAAAGTTGTTTCTAATAGACTTTCATTAAGATTTTGAAAAATTATTATATAGAAATCAATTTTATTTTAGTTTTAAAAAAATTTTACACAGAAGTTGATTTTTCATTATAACTTTAATTTTTTTTTACAAAAATCAATTTAAATCAACTTCTATTTTGTTTTTAATTTTTGTATATAAAAATTAATTTAAATTAATTTTATTTTATTTTTAAAATTTATTTATACAAAAGTTAATTTAAATTAACTTTTACTCACATATAAATATTATAAAGAAGTTAATTATAATTAATTTTATAATATATAATTAACTTAAATAAGTTTTACTTTATTAATAAGAAACAAATTTAGATCAACTTCAATATATTTTTTATTATAAATAGACACAAGATTTAAAAATAAATTGATTTACGTATAATACGTCATCAAATTTGTAACCAAATTAAAATCGACTTCTTATATATATATTTTCAGGATATTTTCTTAATTTATTTGCTTTTTAAAATATTTAAAAATAATTAATATTTTTTAATTTATTTATGAAAAAAGTCCCATTTCACGGTGTCTTCAGGATAATATTTTTCTGCGGGCACAACAGAATTATAAATTCCAAATATCAAAATGAATAAAAACCCACCGTGTGAAGATACTAATCGAGCCTGTTGGGGGTGGGGGCATATGTACTTAAAGTTTTATTAAACTTAAATGGAATAAAATTCTAAAAAAAAACACATTTTCTCGATGTTGTTTCACTTATGTTTAAAATTAGATGAAAAATAAGTTGTTTTTTCTGTTAAAAGATAAAATGTGAAGAATGTGATAAAAATATCAGTAACTAACTTTTAAAAATTAAATATTTCTTTAAATAACTTTTAAAATTTATAAAAATTATAAGTTATCTTTATCAAACAAAGCTGCTACTAATGAAACAAGAAAAATAAAATAAAAGAAAACAAATATTATTTAGATGAAAAAAAAAATTTATTTGAATGAATTAAAAAGAGGTAAATAAATTATATAATAATAATAATAATACTAATAATAATAATAAGTTTATACTTGCATATAATAATAATAAGTTTAAACCTTTTTAGTATATCATTATTTATTAATACTAGTAATTTTTATTTTTTAAAGTTATATTAAAGATTATTTAGTATTTAAACAAACTAGTATAAAAAAAATAAACTCACACGTTTCACAGGTGTGGTGATGAAAAATTATACTTACGGGGCCCACAACATTATTTTTTGCAGCTCAAGACAAGAAAAATTCAAACAACTGAAAAGCACAAGTTCTTTACTAGAATCAGTGCTCCCAATTTCATACCTCTTCAAATCAGTGCATCCAAACACACTGATATCGCCCTTCGTGACACTTCTTATGACCTTTGTAATACTTCTTCACATATGATCACTGCTTTTTTCCCTTGCAGCTCACCAACTATTAACCATTCAAAGCAAAGGGAATTATTCACCTAAAAAGTATGCACCTACCATTAAATGTGCTTTGATTTCTATGCGTACATAGTAGGTTCCCTTCAGACAAAACCATGTTTGATGTTTATCAAGTCAAGATGTATATTTTTTTTTCATTAAAATTTTCTATCATTAGATACTTAAATTTAATATTAAGAGCTAAAATTAATAAAATTATAATAATAACCATAAGTCCAATAGTACACTTGATTGCCAGCGCTACTAACAGAAAAGACATGGAAGGAAGCCAAGGGAAGCATTGGAAGTGAGACAAGTCATTGAGGAGGAACAGTTTATTAAAGCCACATTGAAGGAGATGGACCTGACAGCTTTTCAATCATTTGTTGTGGGTTGGCATTGCTCGTTAATAAGGTCTAATGGGTAGGTCCCTTCCGCCATAAAGTTCTTCCTTTTTATTTTTTGTGTTCTTGCTTTATTGGCCATGAATATATTCTCCCTTTTTTTCATTTTGTTTTATTCATTTTCCAATATTTATGTATCTTTGTCATCATTCTAGTTTTCTTATTTCATATTTCCCTTTTTGCCTTTTTTTTCGCTCTGAATTGTAGAAATAATTAAAATACGAATGGAAGTGAAATATCTCCTGTTTTATCATTTATTTAATGGATACTGAATAATTTCATGAGCGGAATTATATAACTTGAGAATTTAGCAAAATAATTTAATTTGCATGTAGGGTCACATAATAACAAATGGGTTTGTCAAATATGCAAATTACTACTACCACCACCCCACACGTTTTTTAAATTGGTAAGTTTAAAATTCAACCCACAAGGCCATAACATTGACTTATGGCAGTTCAATCATGTAGTACCGCTACGGACTGAAGAACTTGTTTGACACTAACTAGTTACACACTATTTGAGTCACCCTTTACATTATGCACTGCAAACCGTACACTTCAATCCATAGGTTTCAATGACACCAATAGAGATGCATCTACTTTTCAATTTTCATCCAATTGGGCTCTTACTGTTCTTTACGAGTCTCCTTTTACTTGGGGATATTATGGATGTTGTTCTTGTAGAACTTAGTTTATGTTCTGTTTCTTTATTTTCACACATCACCAACAAAAACTGAAAAGGTTTCCCCCTTGCGTTATAGCCATTAGATATAAAATTAATGGCTGAGATCTTTGCTGCAGAAACTGCATTGCTGTAGAGAATACAGTTTCTACTTTGTGACTGCAAAGACTGTTTCCTATTACAAAACTAGACGTGAATAAGAACTCTGAAAACTTGTTTACTAAATTTTCTTGGTTCAACTATCATTCATAACTTGGAAAAGATCACGATTACTCGTGTATGATTTAGGTCGCAATTAAGAGAAAACTGTTTAGAATAATCCAGAGATATTCATTAGTTAATCTTTCGAAGTTGAATGTTTCATCGTAATAATCTTTGAGAAATTTGATCGTCTAATTAGGTTAGGTTCAAACTGTCACCATATTAATACTTTAAAAACTTTTTATTACAAAATCTTTCAAAATTAATCCAACACGAGTGATTCCTCAAATATATAAAATACCCCTATAGATGTCCTGATGTAGATTAAAATGGCAACAAAAACTGAGCAACTGATTAAATAAAAACCAAACCTTTCAAAACTATTAAACAACAAAAGATTTAAGTCAACTTAATGACATTCAGAAAACGTTATAAGTAGGTAATTTTAAAAAACCACATACAAAAATTTCTAAAAATTACGATGTTCTATCGGAAAAAAGATTATTGAAGTTGGAATAAATAACATTTACATATCAAAACTGAACCCGATCCTAATCCCGTGTACTGGCAAAATTGACTTATGCAACACGTGCACCCAATAATAACCCTCCACGTACAGTTAGTGCACACCACAGAATTTAGCAGTGCCACTAACACACTGGATTTACAGAGACTCAAACAGCAGCAAATTGCCAATTCAATTGACTCCAAAACATTAAGGTTGCTGAGGCGTGCAGCACTGCGCCCACCTCAAACAGTACTGGATTCCAGATACCGTAATGTCTTTTAACAGTTAAGTCGAGAAATTGTCGTTCTACAATTACACAAGTCAAAGCACTGAGATTTACCTACTAGTCCTAAAAAGGACTAATAAACATCCTAGAAACTCATGTCTGGAAGAATATTTAACATTAGAGCTATACAAAGATTAACATAGCATATGTAAGTGTAACCATGAAACATCTAATCTAACACCCAGCAGCCTTGAGAAAATTGTCAAATGGGCTAGCAGGAGGCAGCCTCATGGCTAGTCCTGTGTCCCTTGGCAACTGGGTATGCCCAGTACCACCATTTGATACCTACAATGATATAACAGTGTTAGTATTGCATTTGAAGAATTGGATTTATTTAGTTCTGTGTTTCTGTTATCAGAACAAACCTTTTCAAGTGCAGAGTTACTAATGTCAGCGATTGCCAGAAACGATTTATCAGCTGCTTGACTGAAATGATTCTCAAAGGCAAGCCAATTTGAAAGTTTCTTCCTTGCACATGTTCCAAGTGACTCACACTGGCTAGCCATTGTATTGTATGGAAGGGGTGAAGTGGAGATCGCCGTTCCAGCCACTTGACCAGCTACCTCTAGCGCCTGAAAATGGTGGGCAATTGAGCTTATGAGACCATGAGGAAACAGATGCATGCAGAATGCAATTCATGCCCATTTACATTGCTTGGAAAAATAGGGATTTGGATCCCGTCATGTTGAATGTCGAAAATGAGCGTCATGTTCCGTTATTTTTTTGCATTCGCTTCTCACCCCATCCACAACATCGTCTTTTACTCCAAACCTAATGTTGACTGCGATATTAGTTTTCATATTATTTCAAAATTCACAGCATTTCCCCTTAAATACTCAAATTACTTTCTTATTTTTACTGAATAAATTGTCATTCTGCTACCACTAGAGCATACACTGCATAATACTGATTTAGTCAGCGTAAGCAAAGCTAGTAACAAACTATTTTCAAATACATTGGGAACCCACAAAATGGGAGGGTCCCACATGAAATTAAAAATAAGGTTGTTAGTAGCATTTCTCTACAGTATAATATGTGCTTTGATTACACAAAAATACTGTCATACATACAAACATGCAAGACAGAGAGTGTACCGATTCCATAAGTTGTCCAATGCTGATAACATGAGGCAAAGAAGGGGATACAGGCATCTTTGGCATAAATCGAGAAAGGTCAGAGACAGAAGCTTCACTAATTGTGTCATCTTCACCTGCTGAATTTGAGGGAAAATCCTGCACAATAACCGATATTAAGCCATGGGCAATGACATGCGAGCTAGCCAGTTATAATATTTCTGCAAACAATAAATACTGTGTTAACAGATATTACATACCCCATCAAATGACAATGACTCCTGAGAATGGAAAATCATTTGATTTTGATCAAGAATTGACTGTGGACCAAACACAAATTCTTCATCAGGCTTGAATGTCTCTGACAGTAGCATAGCCAATTCATCTGCATCCAGCTTTAAAAACAAACAGGAAAACCAGGTGAGAGAGTCAGGGGCTATGAACAAAATATAGTTCCTGCATCAAATCTAATACCTCAGTAAAGTTGGCTAAATGATGAACCAACACTTCCTTTATGGTCTGGTGACAATTACGTATTTTGTTCCGTAACTCTGATAATATTGAATTAGCCGACTGATTATCAGCAGCAGTACCATAATCCCTCACATCCACTTGGATCTTAGCATATACTTGATGATCATCACTGATACCCAAGAATGGATCAACCTGATTATATGGTAGTGTGTAGTTATTAAGATACATTTATCATATCATGCATAAACATCATTGCTTTATACTGTCAAAATCAGTGTTGAATTCCTCTAACAGACATTAAAGAGTAGCAAAGTACCAGAACCAGACCAGTCACTCACTTCAGATATGGCTAATGATGCAAAAACATCATTTAGATCGGGAATCTGGTATATTTTGCAGGCAAACACCAACATGCCAGCAGATAATACAAAGACAGACCTCTGACCTGCTGGGGGCATCATTCCTGCCAGAACAAAAGTACATCAATTTTGCATTTTTTGTTTTTTCCTTGAAAAAAATATAGCTCCTTTAAGAAGATAATCTACAAGTCATACCATTACTTTGGTCCAACAACATAGTCCAGAGAGACAGAGGAAGCTGGAAGAACCGGATTACCAGGTTATCTCTGTCTTTCAGGTTCTGAAACATTGAATTGTGAAAGATTTTAACAATGATAGTCATGCTTACAGAAATACATAGCAGAAAGTGCAGTCAAGACTCTGATTATATTCAATTTCCTAAGAAAATAAAAACGAAGTATCTGCTAAAAGTACAGGCATGGATATTCATCTATAAGGTAGAGCCATAACTCAAATGTGAATATAACTATGACAGATGGAACCAGACTAAAGTTGAAGAGAAAATAATCTGCAATGACAAGTTCAACACATTTCTTCAGTTGCCTCATTGTTTATGATAAAATTGTTTACAAAGTCACTCATGATTCAGTAAACATTAGAGTCACTAAACAGCTTGTGTATATATTTTAAACATTAACTTTTGTTGGGAACTCAATGCAAAATGACATGCATTCAATTTACCATTCATGATCTATCCAAAAGTAAAAAATGCAACTAAGATAGAACACTACTGGGATACAAAAATATAATAAAATAAAGACATGAAATAAACTATTAAAATTTTACCTTCATGCGTAAAACAATTAGTGTTAATATGAATGAATGAGCTATAGATTCAATATTTGAAGGCAAATTATCCGGAAGATTGGCTTGAATCCAAAAGGCAGAGAGCAGATGGGCCATTTGATCTTCACTAAGTTTCATAACGTATGGTTCCTGAGATCCAATTCAATACCAAAGCATGGTAAATAACAACTTTTTACAAAGAAAAACAATTAACAAAACCTTTTGACAAATCAATTCAACTACATACTGTGTCAGTCAAACTTGGTGATCCTGTAGCCCTATCAATGATAGAGCTAAGTTTGTAAAAGTTAGGGGAATTCTTTAGGCCATAGCCCTGCTTCCAGTCTTCTACCATTATATCCCTTTCTTTGCCACCATCATGAACAATATTCCCATGATTTTCAGCCTTGGTGCTATCTTTGCTTCTGCGGAGCTTTTCAAGTAAAGCTGTAATTGAAGCAGATGCAGATGCAGATGCAGTATGAGAATGCCTTTTATTGCGTTGATCTAGATATCTGGACCGCAGAGAAGAAATTTCACGCATATGGAAGGAACTCGGAAAAAGAAGTACAGAAAATATAAGGTGTGCTCCAACACGAGCCTCCACATCTGAATGCAACATTACTTTCAGGAGTTGCACAAGAACAGTTTCAGGAAATCCCTAGATGGAAGCATGAAAAATTATCAATAGATGTATTCCAAAATAACACCAACAAGCTTCCTAAAATCTTCAACCATTCATGCAAAAGGAAAATTCTGCAGAAAAATGCATATGGTTCAAAGTTATGTTCAAGGCAATGCCTCTCTTCCTTCCTACCATGTAGTACCATTTTTAGTATGTGTAATCATATTTTGTTAACAATGTTAGATATTACAACAAGCTCTTCTCACCTGCTGCAAACGTAATCGAGCCAATGCTAAGGTGACTGCTCGAGCAAGGATTATCAAAGATCCAATGGTTGCTCTACCAACAACACCAGATGGAACATTTTCTAGAGTTATTGCCATCAAGTCAAATAGTGGCTGGGCATCAATCACCTAGTCAACCAACCAAGGAAAAAAGTAGTTTAGTAGCTTGGAACGCAGTGAACCAATTAATAATAATTTGACCTAAATATATTTTTAATCCTTAAAAATATGACAATTTGGTTTTAGTCCTTCAAAGCTTTTTTTTTTTTTTTGTTTAATTTGGTCCTCATAAATTATAAAAATTTGAAATAGTCTATATCATCACTTAGTGATAACATGACAAACATCTAAACATGCCACATCAACAACCATTTTGAGGTGGCATGTATAAACGCATGTCACATCATCAATAGGTAATAATAGACTATTTTTAAAAAAAATTTAAAATTTATGTGGTTCAGAACTAATAAAAGAATTTGGAGGACTAAACCAAATTTATCATATTTATAAGGACTAAAAGCATATTTTACCCAACTTGTTTTTTGGAGGAAGGGGTGGGTGGGTTGCATTCATAAACCTACCCCATTGGCAATTTCTACTAAGCAGTCCTCAATGGAATTTTGAAGTGAGATATTTAAGTTCAATTCTTGCTCTCCAACAAATTCACCAGAGGCTTGAAGACTTTTCCTAAGATGCCTGCAAAGGTCACCAACAAAACCAATCTCTGACAACCCTCTCCCTGATCTAATTTGCATAGCTAAAGATGTGGCAACTTGAACAACCCAGGTCTTAAGTTGGGGATCATTCATGACATTTTTGTGGTCCAGATGATGTATCACAGAAGCTAGTATTAAGCGCTGATTCCCTGTATTTAAGGGAAAGGAAAACATCATTATGGGGCAAGAATGGAAAATTGTATAAAAGATCCTTGTAAAGTATTGTTCTTAGCTCATAGCTGTTTTAAAATCCTTAAGTCCACACATCTTTAAAAGTAAAACATGGAATATGACTGCAAATCCACTGAATAATTAATCTCTGAAAAGTTATTTGAGCCAGAAACAGTCTGAGAGTAAAATACCCAAGTTCTCCATGAAGTAGGCCATACTGGATAAAACCATCATTGCTAACCCTTTCTGAGGAGCCCATTGTTGTCTAGAATCAAAGTAGGCAAGCATTGGATCCAGCACACGACGCATAGTAGTGCTTTCCTTGGCTAATTCAACCATTCTTTGAATGCATATCTGAGCCCATATATCTGGCTTTTCAATTTCTTCTCTGTAATAATGATTAAAAAAAAATCACAAAAGGGGACCAAAGGGTAATTAAAAGCTGTGTAATAGACTGATTAACACTGCTCCAATAGCTAAGAAATGGCCTGCATTTTTCTATAAGCTAATACCTAGTCAAAACAGAAGGATCTTTTATTTCAGGTCGTGGCTGGATCATCACACAGCTAGAACGATTGTCATTACCAACAACTGAACCACCCCGACCTTCATACCGAACAACCTCATCCACCCAATTATGATGTGGCTCTGCCCTGACAACAGAATCTTCACATTGTCTACTCCACTCATAGTTATCTAGAGTGGCATGAACAATCTACATTTTGAATGAATTAACAAATTAGCAATGATATCTGACAGAGAAGAGAGCACACAAATTAATTATGTAAATTTAAAAAATCTGTTCATAGAAATTCGCAGCATAATGGTAGCTAGACATTTGTTGGGTTTGATTCCTAATTTCCTATTTTAGTGTAAACTGCAAACTTTAATGATAAAGATTATACATGAAATTGAAAGCATCAAGAAGAAACCTTAGATGATTTAAAGTCTCATTTACCACCAAAAAAAATTATTTCACCATATCCCCCCAGCCCCATATTGGAGATATGCCGAGTCCAAACACAATGATCCAAAGGCTATAATGGTTTTAGTGAGGAACAACTCAATAACTTACCTCATCAAAATCAGCAAAAATGTGTGAAAACTCAGCCATAAACCAAACCTGTCAAGAAAAAATGCAATCAAATAAACAATGCACTTACACCTAAAAGACTCCAAAACAACAATAAAAAAACTCACAACCATGAATTTTACATAAAATAACCATCAGAAAGCAATCAGAATTCAATGAACAGAAACTTGCACCATTAAAAGCACAAAGAATCAAATGAAGCATTATTACCATTGCTGAAAGGCATTGCAAGCTCGATGCCCTCAAGCAGCGCTTTTCATGTGTTTCACCATGTTCCCGAGATAGCATGCACACTTTCCGCACCAACTTCTCAATGTTATGAGTATATGTAGCATCCACCTGTTCTTTCATGTGTCAATAGAATGAAAGTGCAAGGAAAAATCACTCCAGCTAATTTATAGGTTGGAAAATCTAATTAATTCATCATTAAATTGAACAACTGAATTTAATATCCAAGGAAGGACCTGTAATTATCAAACAAAATGTAATTATGGTTGAATACAAAGGCACTGTCCACTTTTTCTGTTTCAAAGTACATTAGTCGAAGTAAATAAAGATCTAAATCTTGCACAATCATGCACAAACCATATTTGCAAGCAGCCAAAAAATGTCTTCTTACTTAAGCTTTTTGGATTGTATTATTCACCTGACAGTAGATGAACCTTGATAAGGTTTGGCAACCAAGTGTCTGAATGGTCTCATCCTTAGAATAGCTCAAAAGCTCTGAGCTTACATTAAGCACATCAACAGCAAAATATGCTCTGGAATACACAAGATATAACCTCAAAACTTTGAAGATGAATCACATAAAAAATGTGCAGCAGAGATCAATATCATAATGAAATATTGAAAAGAATCTGTAACATATCAATTGTTTGACCACCAACAGAATGTGGAAACATATGCTGATTAATTATGAGAAACTTACATCTGCACCTTACAGATTGAAAGCAACTTGTTGAAAGATTCTGTTATTATCTTGACCAATTTCATGCGTTCAGATCTGAGTTCTTTGTAGCACCTTTCTTCAAGATATTTTGCTATCTGGAAGAAAGAGCAGAAATAGTTAACTTCAACAATGGATTCAACTAATTCAAGCATCTTTATCTCCTCTTCTCTTTTCTATTATAAAAAAAATACCAATCCACGAGTTAAATAAAATAATAAATACCTTTGGAATTCGGAAAGGATTTTTTGCTGCATATTCACATAATTTGACAATCTTCCTCTCACTTGGCGTCTCATCCTGAGAAGTATAAGTTAAATCATCAATACCAGGATATACAATGAAGTAAATTGATTCATCAACAAGCATTGCTGGCTAATTAGAATCATAAATATTTTTTAAGCTGAAACAGCAGATAACTGAAAACAGTAAAGCAAAACCAATGCACAGAAAGTAACAACTAGTTTCAAATTTTTATTTCAGAGAAGGGAAGATAGTTTTCTGAGTTCTCCTCCTAATGGTAATGTACAATGGCACTATAAATATTAGTCACCACAAAAAAGTGTTTCCTAAGAGGCCATATAGATGGAAAAAGAGCCATAAACGAAAACAACAGCAATGGTGACAAACACAGGAACACAATGAGGTTACTAATTCCATTTTCAAGGAAAAAGGAGTGCGACGAGACACTAACTGGGGATTTAGGGAATATATCAGCAAGCAGTTTTCTGTATCGTTTGACTGGCTGGCGTGATCTTGACCTCAAAGCAGGACAGCAAACACACATGTTCCCACATGCTGGGAAGATCGTCCGCGAGATGATACCCATTACTTGAAATTCCCAAAATGAGAGCACAATGTAGCCAAATTTAGAGCAAACCCACCTAAGATATTCAACAACAAACCTGAAAACTACCAGCAAAAGCAAAAAGCCCCAATCAGTTAACAAAAAGAGAAAGCAAACAAAACCAAAGAAGAATGCAGTAAAGCCAGGATCCAAGGGAAAGACATTGAAACTGAAAGCTGTTACTAAAACAAACAAACATGTCCCCGTTTTTCAAAATGAAAAGCACAAAAAAAAGAAAAAACCAACGACACAGAAAGGAATAAATAAAGCAGAAACGACCAAAGACTGTAAAGAAAGTAACTTTTCAAAGTATCATCAACAACACCAATTTTTTCCCAAGGGATAACAACCAAAGCCAAAGGTACCAACAGCAAAGTCTCTGATAATTCTAGAGAAGGACAAAAACAACCCAGAAGAGTTATAGAAAAAATTAACCGCAATACCTTGCTCCTTGGGAAGAAGATCTGAGAGTGAGAGTTGAACCCTCACACAGTAATGGAGAACAAGCGAGAATTGTAACAACAGCAGTAGAGTAGCAGTAAAATGGGAACAGGAAAGAGAACCCAAACATGAAATGGCGCGTGAGTCAGACAACATGGGAGACTATGTTGGATGTGGTAGATCACGTGATTGTGTCAGGTAGGATTGAATTGAAGGAACACAAATTCATTTTCCTTTTTCTTTTTTCTTTTCCTGTAAAAGTGTACCTCCGTCCTGCCGTTTCAAACTCTGTCAGAACTTACAACACACATTACAACTGATACTTTGATCGGTTGTTTTTAAAAAATATTAAAATCCTGTGCACTCTTATGAAAAATGATGTTACAATTTTTTCCCTAGTAAATGGTGAACAGTGAAAGTTTGAAACTTTATTTTGAACTCTTCTTGGGGGTTACTATTTCTAGGAATGTGTAGTGGTAGTGGTTTTACTTGAAGTGGGGAGATTTATTTTAATAAATCTTATAATATAATTCTTCACATAAATAAATATTTAATTAATTACAACTATAGATAAGCCGTCAACTGCTTTTCTTGAGTCTTGGGTTGGGTCTTTTGATTGGTAATTGAGGACTCACGGAAGTTATTAATCCATCATTAATGAGTGTGATTAAATTAGTGCCTTGTTGTTGGTATTAGTCATTACAAAGATTAGAGTAAGAAAATCGAGAAATGCTGATGCCAGTCACTGGATCTTTGGGGATATAAATAATCAGTGCACATGCCATTGTCATTGCCATTGGAGCATGTAAAACTTTGTGCCCACATGACCACAAATGTTGGGTCTTAGCGGGCAATTTTTATTTCAATATCATCAATCATAAAATAACTATACTTTAAATATTTAATATTTTTGTTAAAAATTATTTTTTGTTATTAAACTTTTTAAATTTTTAATTAGTAATATAATAATAATTTTTTAACTTCTATAACATTGTAGATGATAAAAATTAATTAATAATTTTTTATTGAAAACTTTACATTTAAGAACATCAATGTATTAAATTTTGTAATTTTTTATTATGTATAATATTACATAATTTTAAAAAATGATATAGTTATAAATTTTAAAACTATCATAATTGTTTCAAAATAATATATTAATTAATTTTAATAAATTTCTTAATACATATAATTAGTTGAAATATTTTATGAAAAAACTAAAATATATAAAATAAAATTATCAAAAATGAAAATTTTAGTATATTAACAATTAAATATTATATATTTTAAAAATATTATTTATTAATTTTTTATATATCTAGACACGTGTAAAAAATCAAAATATTACCTGGACGCTAAAATTATGGCTTTATGTGACTAATAATGCTCATCTTATGACAAGCATCCATGAGGCAAGCACCGAGCTTTTGTTTGGCTTATTTGGTAAACAGCAATTCCTTCCACGAGACAATACGACGAACGTGGCCAATACATTTATTCCTTGCAATCTAAATATAACAAGTCACAAGATATTTCTCTTTAACATTTCTTTCAATTGTTTTTCTTTTTGAAACACTCCCACCTGTTAAAAATATAAAGTTGCTCAATATTGATTTTTTTTTTCCTTTGAAAGATTTTGATTCTAGCCGTAGTTTTATGTATTGCAAAATAAATAAATTTAGCTTCATAATCATAAACAAACCAGCTTTAAATCAAGTTTTCCATCTCAATTCATACTTTTCTCTCGGTCAATGATTCTTCAAATCAAGAAATTTCATAAAGTATATTTTGAATCTTCCTTTACTAGAAAAAAAAAATTACCAAAGATAATCCGTTTGCTCTTGTTTAAATTAATTAAAAAAAAACACCATCCCCAAGAAAGAAATGGGTTCCGGAAGCAAAACACGAACTTTTTGCTCACTATGATGCGACTTAACTTCATGACAAATGACGGAGGGATCTCTCCGCGTGTTGAGGCTCACAGAAATAAACAAATTTTTAATCACTAATTACATTCCAACCAAACAATGAATTTTCACTTGAAGCAACCCATTTTCACCTCCATTTCAATGGAAAAACAGTGTGTAAAACAAGTCAAAGGTATAATATATTTGATTTTTTAAAAAGGTTTTTATATGAAATCTATGAAAAATAAGTGATTATTTTTTCTAAAGATTGATTCAAACGTGCTAGTAAAAGACTGATTACTTACCATATGTGAACTACGTCGATTCATTTATAAAACAAACCAAATCTAAATGTTATTATTGACTCGTTTTACTACTCAAACTCCATATTCTTATGTACTATAAAAAAAAAATCCATTTTCTTTGCCAAACGTCCATATGTACAAAGGCCACTAATTAACGCTTAATGCCTGAATTGAGTTAATGCCCAATTATTGCTGATTCAACAATGAAAGATATTTTAATAGTCTTGGTTTGAAAAGTATTCTTTTACATTACGTGATACCAGTGGCATATCGTGTACATATTACATTCCAACTGCAGCTATTAGATCTAATTTAGAACTAACCAACAATCATATTACATAATTGCTGCCATAATAAACATCTTATAATCATGAAAAACAGGTACGATGATTAACGTTGAAGACAATACTTTTCCATGTAACACGCTATCATAATCTTGCATGGAGCATGGGTTTAGTTGCTTAAAGAAAAAGCTATGCTTATAAACATGTATACTTAATACGGTTTTGTTAAAAACGGAGCTTGGACTTCCAAAAATACTTTTTATTAAAAATATTAATTACATTAAAAGTATAATAAATAGTTTTATTTTTTTAAAAATTATTATTAATAATTACTTAAACCCAACTCTAACAACTGAAATTTACATTTTCTTATTTAATGACATTTTATAAAGACAACCCTAATTACTAATGAAAACTGATTTACAGTTTAATAATTTATGTATTAGATAGGGAACTGCTCGATCCTACATGGCCGAATACTTTGTTGTTAGGATTAAAAAGTAATTAACCCAATTAAAGGTAATAATCAGAGTATTATCTACTTTAAGTAAAGGGCCAAAATCAATGCTAACTCAGTAGTCCCATTGGCCCATAACAATGCCTATAAAAGAAAGTAAGAAGTACAGGTAAAAGGTTGACTTTTCATTATTAAATAGCATTTATTCCTCAAAATCGAATCCTGACTTCAGCATCAGAGTGCCTTTTGCAGGTATCCTCCCTACATCAGCGACAGTCAGAATGACGTCACCGTTTCAGAGCAGATACTTGAAGATTAGTGTTTCCCTAGCAGAAACATTTTGGCGCCCACAGTAGGGCACGATTGCCTTGCTTTTTTGATCAATATGGTACTAACAAGAAGCCAACAGGACGAACATGTTCAGCAGGGGGAACTTCTCGGCAACAGCAAGAAGATATTACACATACCCAACCAACACCTGAGGTTCTGCTGGAAGGAGGAACCGATGAAGGCCTTTTAGCGGTGTTAATGCAGCTCAAAACAGAAATGATGGAGATGAAAAAGGAAAGGGAAAAAGATGCCCTGGAGCTCTCGGTCTTGAGAAGGGAAAATGCCCACTTAAGAGAAGAAATAAGAACACACATCCCTTCCCAAACTACACCTCTCACCCAGGATCAGGGGGAGTCCTTGACGTTACAAGAGAAATCGAGATTAATTCAGCAATCTGAAACGAAGAATGACCGAGATGATGTAGTGAACCGAAGCTCGTTTGCTCACCATATCTTGGATGCTAAACTACCGGACAACTGGAGAGGCTTAACAATAGAAAAATATGATGGCACAACTGATCATGGGGAACATCTAGAGGTTTTCACAACTCAGGTCGGCTTGTACACAGAAAATGACTCCTTGTGGTGCAGGATTTTTCCCACTTCACTAAGAGGACCAACTCTTACTTGGTTTACCCAACTCCCTCCCTGATCTATTGACTCCTTCACAACCCTCACAGGACGGTTTAATCTGCAGTTTGCCACAAGCCGACCTCACCCCTTGACATCCCTAGCGCTTGTCAACATTCATCAGGAAAAAGGAGAATCACTTCGAGCGTTCATGGAACAATTCGACAAAGTGACACTTTCCATCCATAATCTAGAACCTGCCGTGGCCATGCACCACTTACAACGACTCTTAAGCCTGGGCCTTTCGTTAATAACATTTGCAAAAACTCGCCAGCTGATTTGGATGAATTGAGAAGTCAGGCTGCAAAGTATATGCAGATGGAGGAATTAACTGAGTACCGAAATCAAATTCGGATGGACCTGGGGTCCAATTCAAAAAATATTGACAAAAAAGAAACTTTCAGACCTTGGCAAGAAAATAAAAGGAATGAGCCCGAGAGGCCCCCTAAGGGGCCTAAATACCCCTCTTATACCACATTCAACACTAACAGGTCCAAGATACTTGATCAAGCCTTAGCAACAGAAATCTTGAGTATGCCCAGACGTGCTAACACCCCCCTTGGGCAAATAAGAACAAATCTTGTCGATATTATCGCAATAGGGGTCATACAACAGAGGAATGCATGGCCCTAGAAGATAAAATTGAAGATTTGATAAAGGAAAGACATCTTCAAGGATTTGTACAAACGAATCCCACTGGTCGTATTGAGAGAGGTAGGGACCGATACCCACAATCCTCAAGAAGGTACGAAGATAAGCAGCCTGAGAGACAGCGGAGCCGGTCAAAAGAGCCTCCTGTAAAAAGATATAATGAACGAGAAAAATACCCGAAGAGGGTGATCAACATCATAGCCGGTGGGTTTGTTGGTGGAGGACCTACCCATTCGGCTAGAAAGAGACATCTTAGACAGGTTCGCTCTGTTAACAACGTTTCATTGGATAGCAGAATTTGAATTCTGCCCATTACGTTCACAGACGATGACATTCAAGGAGTGGATCTGGTACAAGATGATTTGATGGTTATTAGTGTTGACATTCTCAATTTTACTGTCAGGAAAACACTCATTGACCAAGGGAGTTCGGTTGATATCCTCCACTAGTCAGTTTTTCTGGGGAGCGGGTAGAAACCCGTGGATGTATTGATCTCTACAGTTCATTCAGGTCAGAACACGAGGGAAAACGTATCAAAGTCACTTACCTGGTAGTACACGTGAATACCTCGTACAATATACTACTAAGCAGACCATCCCTTAACAAGTTGAAGGCCATAGTGTCTACTCCGCACTTGGCCATGAAGTTTCCGTCCGAAAGAGGTCGAATCGTTACAGTACATGCTGACCAGAAGACGGCCAAGGAATGCTACTTTGCAAGCCTACATCTTAAGCCTTTCCATGGAAGTAGCCAAGATTTCA